TTAGGGAATCCCATGCCCTCTTCTGGCCTCCTCAGGCACCAGGCATGCATGTGGTGTGTCTGACCCATGCAGGGAAAACACTTACTCATGTTGTGTTAGGATTCTCCTGGTGTGAGGAGACACAGTAATCACAGAAACTCTTGTAAAGGATCACATTTAATTGTGGTGGCTCACAGTTTTAGAGGTTCAGTCCATAGTATGGTGGGGAGCATGGCAGCAGGCAAGCCAACACAGGGCTGGCAACAGGAAGTGGACTGTGACACACTTCCTCCAACAAGGCCACATCTACTCAAACAAAGCCACACCTCCTATAGTGCCACTCCCTATGAGCTTATGGGGGCCAAATACTTTCAAACTACCACACACATAAAATAAAAACAACTAGATCTTCAAAAAAGAAAGATAAAAAATTAAACAACTTGGGTTCTCCTTTCCAAGGTCCAGTCAGACCTGCCCCTTAAGCCACTGAGATCACAGGCTGTCTCTGTCTAAACCACGTCCATCATGCATCACTGTGGGGCCTCTGACTCTATCTAATGTCCTATGTCACCTTCAGGAAGAAAATGGCCAAAGCCCTCTGCCACCTCAATGTTCCTGTCACCGTGGTGCTGGATGCTGCTGTTGGGTAAGTGTGACTCTCCCACGTGTGCGTGCTGGCTCCAAACAGGGCTTTCAAATTGGAGTGTGAATCCCATCCATAAAATCTGACTGGGTAGCATCTCTCCCTTAACAAATAGGCAGCCACTCTGCAGTAGCAAGATTCTCACAAGGTCATGAGAGGGCCCAGCATTGGACCTATATCCGTGCATGTTAATGGTGGGGGTCTTATTTGTGAAACAGGCTCCTGTAGCCCAGTCTGGCCTGGAACTCAGTCCTTCCTCAGCTTCCCAAGTGCTGGAATTGCTAGCGTGGGTGGAATACTCAGCTGTTCCTGTTTTCAGCGTAAAAGGATAAAGTCAGCCTGTGGTGAGCAGTTAGGTGGTCAGTAGCTCACTGAGGCTTCGTCCCAGCTGGGCCGTCAGTGTCTATCACTGAAGAGGCGTCTCTGGGAAAGAAAGCTCATTATTAAGGAGACAGGAGTGTGTTCCATAAGCACTTTCAGCAGCTCTTACTGTCTCAGAAAGTAAACTGTGACTCAACCTATTAGCACTGCAAGGCAGAGGCAGGTGGATCTCTGAGTTCCAGGCCAACCAAGGCTACAAACTGAGACCTTGGCTCAAAAGTTTTAATGTCGTGGCGGGGTACAGTGCTAGGGCAGCTATGTGCAGTAGACGCCCTTGTGAAGACGGCAGCTGTGGAAAGAACTCGCCATCATCGGACATTAATTAGAGCCAAGAAAAGTATGTGAAACCTTTCCTTTTGTCCATTTCCTCAGCTACATCATGGAGAAAGCAGATCTTGTCATAGTTGGTGCTGAAGGAGTGGTTGAGAACGGAGGCATTATTAACAAGGTGGGTACCTGCCACACTGGCCTTGGACCATGGTCAGATTTCATCTTTAGAGGCTGGCCTTTGTGACGTTTGTCAATTTGCACATTTATACAGATAGGTGCTTTTTGTGGATCTGTGATTTGACACAGGGTCTTGTATGGCTGAGGCTGACCTGATCTTCCCGTCTCTGCCTCCCAAGTGCTAACGTTAGAGGTATGCATTACCACACCCAGGCAAAACAGATTCAGCTTGGAGTTAAGCTTTGCTTACATTTGATTGAAGATATTCGTCCTCAGGGTTTCCTTACCTAGGAAACCATCCATGACACAGCATCCTGGTCATGTTACACTGTGCATGCACAATCTTGAGGCTTTGGTTCAATGGTTTTCAGCACGATCACACCATGGTGTCACCAGTGTTTGTAAAACTTTCTGTTTGTCCCAGATGGCCTTTTCCCATGTCCCTGGGTCCCCTTTGTTCTGTCCTGACTTTTCCAGTGCTACTGACAAAAGTAGACTCACGAGCTCATGGCTTTGATCTTGGCATACTTCACTGACCACGCCGCCTCAGTCATATCCCCCAGCCCCCGACTACAGCAGGTGTCAGGACTGCGTCCTTTGACGGTGTGGTCATGGTCACTGATAGTGGACACTTGAGCTTTCCCTGCACTGGCTATGGTGCAGAGTGCTGCTGGGACACTGGTCAGCAAGTGCCTTAAGTCCCCGGGAAGTGTGAAGTGGCTCGTCCTGGGCTGTACTTGCTTTTCTCTAGCTGCTGGTACTGGACATCTTTTCATGTGGTTTGGGACCGTTTATCTCGGAAGAAAACGTGTTTAGGTTTTTGTTTGTTTGTTTGTTTCTGAAGACAGGGTTTCTGTGTAGTTCTAGCTGTCCTGAAGTAGCTCTGTAGAACAGGCTGGCCTCAAACTCAGAGCTACCTACCACTGCCTGGTCTGTTTTCTTTCTTTCTTTCTTTCTTTCTTTCTTTTTCTTCTTCTTCTTTTTTTTTTTTTTTTTTTTAGATATTTCATGTTGGCCTTGAACTCAATATGTAGTTGAGCATGCCTTTGAATTTCTAATCCTCCCGCCTTACCTCTCTGGGGATTACGTATGTCCCACCAGGGCCTGATTTGGGCAGTGCTAGGGCTTGAACTCATGGCTTCAGCATGCTAGACACGTATTCTGCCAGCTGAGCTAAATTCCTAGCCCTCAGAGGACCTTTAAAGAAAGAAAACAAGCCAGTCTCAAAAAAAACAAAACAAAACAAGAAAATTATCATGCCAGAATTGCCCTTACTCTGTGCTTCTACTGCAATGAGTTGTGCAAGCTAACCTTGCATCTCTTCCATCTCCCTGATTTCTCAGATTGGGACCAACCAGATGGCCGTGTGTGCCAAAGCCCAAAACAAACCCTTCTATGTGGTTGCAGAAAGTTTCAAGTTTGTACGGCTCTTCCCACTCAACCAGCAAGACGTCCCAGATAAGTTTAAGGTGAGTTTTACATAGCTGACAGGGTCTTTGATTCTATAATGTTCTAGAAAGGTCCTCACTTCCCACAGCTGACCTCCAGTGCTCTTCTATGGTACCAGGACACACTTGTGTGCAGTCTCCATCTTGTTTATTTACACAGCAGAGAAGCTGTGCTGTAGCACAATTAATAAAACCCTGAGACAGAAATTGGGGTTCAACCCAAAGGTCAGAAAAGCAAAACAACCAGCCACTGCTCTTACCTCTACCTCAGTCTGAAATGACGATCCTGCCTCCAGGAATCTCAGAATGAGACTGTGTGAGAGCTGTCTCCTCCAGTATTATATTCCTCTCTAGGGCTGGGATCAAAGGCGTGCACCACTACCACCTGGTTTCTATGGCAAACTAGTGTGGCTACTGAGATTAAAGGTGCATGTCATCACTGCCTGTTCTGTAAGGTGGCTGTTTTACTCTCTAATCTTCAGGCAAGCTTTATTTATTAAAATACAAGCTAAATAGCACCATACTGTGTGAGTGGTGGTGGAACCCCAGCCTCAGAATCAACTCTTCATTCTCACCTCTGCTTTTATAAAATGTGACCTTGGTCAGGCCCTTCCAGTGTAGATTTGCTTATCTGGGATGGGATGGTATCCTGTGACGTACTGTCCCTCCCAGCCTGCCACACAGCCAGTTTCTCGATGTGGGGGCAGTCCTGACATGAGCTCACTCAGTGCTCAAGCTACAGCCTCAGCAGTAGAGAGCCTGGATACAAGGCCAACCCAACTAATGCAAGTTCTTCCCTCCTCAGTACAAGGCAGACACTCTCAAGTCTGTGCAGACTGGGCAGGACCTCAAGGAGGAACACCCGTGGGTCGACTACACTTCCCCGTCCTTGATCACCCTGCTGTTTACGGACCTGGGTGTGCTGACACCGTCTGCTGTAAGCGATGAGCTCATCAAGCTGTACCTGTGAGCAGAGTCCCCTCCTGCCAGCTTGCAAGGAGCACGTGTGCAGGGTGAGCCAGCTGGCTCCAGACTGAATCGGACTTTCAGATTTGTATGTGAAGGGTTCACGTCGGAAGTCCTGGAGAGTCCTTTCAACTCAGCTGTGTCACATCTGAAACCTGTTCCCAGCTAGAACCAAGCTGAAGCTGTCTGCGGAAGTAGTTAGGTGACTGGTTGCAAACCCAAGGAAGGACAGCACACAAGTGGGGACCTTCTTCTCAATCAATGAAAGTGACATAGGCCACTCTGCAGTGACAGACACTGAGAACACATCATGGGGTTGCCTTACAAGCGAAGCAGGAAACACTGCGGGCTGATCTGGCTTCAGGGCTCCATCTCCTCAGCAGGGTCAGGTCAGACAGGAAAAACATCAGTGCCTTCCCAGGATGCTGCTTACAGAATGTCTGGACCTAACCTCTGTCTATAAAGTAGGAGTTTACTTTAAACATGCTTAGGTCCCCAACGGCTTTTGTAAATTAAACATGGGAACAGATCAGGATCTTTTTAAATAAATTATATGAACGATTTGGATATGGTATTGCATCAGTACAAGGAGGCCCAGGCCAGAAACTGTAAGCACAGTTGGGCAGAACACCACAAACAGCCTAGCAGCACTAGGCTTACCTGCCAATATAACAGCACCAGAGTCAATTCTAAAATGTCCTCACTCTAGTCTGGGTGTGGTGGCGCAGCCTGTGACCCCAGCACACAGAGGCTGAGGCGGGAGGATTGTTCTGAAAGCATCCCGGACTACGTAGTGTAGATCCTATTGCAAAGGAAAGAAAGACCCCAGAACCCACTGTGCATAGCCACCTCTGCGTCTACAGGTGCTCCAGACAGGCCTGCACGGGACATGCCACATTTGGGTGGGAGGAGGGGAGGGGCGGTCATGTGACTGGGAATACTTAGAAATTTTACAAGGCCTAAAATCAAATGTATTACAGTATCTGTTTTTAAAAGGTAATAATTTAAAATAAGTATATATATGAAAATATATTTTATATATTCATATATAAACATATTCATATAAAATATTTCATATATATGAAAATATTTTTAAGTCAGTAATAAAGTACAAAATTACACCAGAAAAAGCACAATCAAAATCAATACTGACATCTGTTATTTTCACTCAAATAACGAAACAATTCTGTGAGACCTGGCAGGACTGTAGTGCTTATGAGTGTACAGTTCTTTTGTGTTTCCCCATCAGCGCAGACAGCTTTCCAGAACAGTCTTCCGGGAAGGGCGGGAATGTGGGCCGGTGGCGTAACAGCCTTCACCGAGGCTGAGGTCAGCTGTCCTCTTCCAAGTCTGAGACCCCTAAGTCTGTCAGCGGTACTGTTCTTTTGGTGCTTGTCAGCAACCTCTTCTCAAATTCTTCTTCTGTGATCTTACCTTTCCTAAACTTTTTCAAGAGCCTTGTATCATTAAGGAGTTCCTCCATATCCTCGTCATCAATATCCGAACCCTGAGTACAGAAGCAACAGGACTGTTAGCTGAGGCTCTAGAAAGCAGCAGGTCCTGCTGGGCCTACAGGAGCCAGGGTCAACTAACACCAGAGGCCCCAAAATGAATGGGGGAGTGTGGCGTCCACACAGCCCAGCCCGACTGTGGCCACCTTGCTGTCCTCACACACTGAATGTCAGGGTTCTAAGAAGGAGGTTAAGAAACAAAGAGCACCACACTTTACCTCATCCTTTTTCCTCTTTGCATTCATCTTCTTCTTCCTCTCCTTCTTGGCCTTCTGCTTCGACCAAGCTTTATTTTTGATGAACTTTCTTCTTCCTTCATTTTCTGTCCTCTCTTTTCTTTTTTGCTCCAAAAGTTTCTGCCTCTGTTTTTCTCTAATTTTATCTTTAAATGGAATCGTGTCAGTATCGATGTCTGTGGGCACAAAATCTGGAAACTGCTTCCCCCTCAGTTCTGGCATCCTGGGCATCCTTAGCAGGGCAAATCCTTGGGCAAGGCTTGCAAAGTCGAGATCTATAGATAAGACATCACAGCTGGACACAGGTTCTTCATGATCTTTCTTAATTAAATGATGTAATAAATGTACTTTAATTAGAATTTTTAAGAAACATTTTTCGAGATGGAAATGGCAGTTTATTTTGCATCTGCTCAGAGCCCTGTATAGGACTTTCTTTTTTATTTTTATGAACACTAACCCTAACATGGCACATATTTCATTAAGACAAAGCAACCCTTGTCACCCAAAGACTCAGAGAAGTAAGAAGAAACATGGTTGTGCCAGACATGGTGGCACCCAGCTTTAATCCCAGTACTTGGTAGGCAGAGGTAAGATCTCTGAGTTTGAGGCCAGCCTGGTCTCCATAGCAGGAACCAGCAGGGCTACAGAAAGACCCTGCCTCAGAAAAAAAAGGTTAGAGAAGGCAAAGCACTGCTTACCCTTCAGCCTGAAGATGAGGCTGCACTCGTGCTTTGCGTAGGCCTGGACGAAGGACACGAAGGCTTTCATGCCCTTCTCGAACACTGCCCTGTCGGCCATGGCCATGGCCCGGAGCTTTGGCAGAAGGTCGACTGTGTTTCTCTGGAGGCTCATTTCCTGCAGGGGGCACTACACAGAGACCACCATCTCACCTCCCTGCAGTCCCTCCAACCCCAGTACCTTCCAGAGTACTAATAAACCAAGGACAGCACAGTACATCAAGAGCCAGGGGCCAAATCCAGCCCAAGCACATTCCTTAGACAAATGGGAGTTTGAAGGTTTGTTTTTTTTTTAAGTTTGAAAATGACAATTCACATAACACTCCCGATTAGTAAGATAGCAAGCAACAATAGGTAGGCAGTGTTCCCAAGTCATGATGCTGGCCAATGCCTCCCAACCCAGCCCAGGTGAGTTGCTAACCTCCTCTCAGTTGCTAACCACTAGCTACCAGGCAGTGTGCCACTTACTTTCTGGTTAATGGCCAGGAAGTTGATGTACGCCTCCTCCATAGGCAGTAAGAACACTAGAGCGCTGCCACCGTGGCCTATCCGGGCTGTGCGTCCACAGCGATGCACGAAGGCACTACGGGGACAGGGTGGGGCAGTACCCCAGGGTGGCAGTGAGTATAGAGGAGGTGCAGACAGGACCTGAGGACACCCGACCACAGCGGGGCTTCCTGAGATCACACAGCAGTCACAGGGCAAAACTGAGAACAAGAAACAGCCTAAAGGGAAAGTGCCCTGGAATGACAGATGTCAGGAAAAGCATCACTTGAATTTGAACGCAGCTCTGGCATTTCAAAAGTGTGAGGAAAACAGCATGGCGGCACATGCCTTTAGTCCTAGCACTCCTAAGGCAGAGGCAGGCAGATCTACATAGGGCGGCAACGAGTTCCAGGACAGCCAGGGCTACATAGAGAAACCCTGTCTTGAAAAACCAAAAATAAACAAGAGATAAGTGTGTGGGGAGAGAGTAGTCTGGTGCTCTTCTCAACACTTTGTAATTTGCACTTTCATTTTTATTTATCCTCTACACACACACCACTTTACAGACAGTATCTCAACTCAGCAGCCCAGGCTGATAAACTCTGGACTTCCATCCTTAGGCCCCTAAATACCACTATTACAAGCAGGAGTCACCACACCTGACTGAATATGACTGCTAGAACAACACACCAAAGCGATTTGGCTACTTGCCTACTTCTGGGATTTAATGTTTCAGGAGCTGGGCTGTAGAGTGCTTTGATTTCAAAACTAAGCCAGAAGCCAAGCGGTGGTGGCGCACGCCTTTAATCCCAGCACTCGGGAGGCAGAGGCAGGCGGATCTCTGTGAGTTCGAGGCCAGCCTGGTCTACAAGAACTAGTTCCAGGACAGGCACCAAAGCTACAGAGAAACCCTGTCTCAAAAAACAAACAAAAACAAAACTAAGCCAGGTGTGGTAGCACATGCCTGTAACTCCAACACTCAGGGGTGATGGCAGGATGATCAGAAGTTCAAGACCATCTCTGGCTACAAGAGACTCTTGTCTAAAAAAAAAAAAAAAAAAATTTTAAATGTTTAAAATTTCACTGCACATTTACCCCTCCAGATTCCTGTCTCCCTCAGCTCAATTCCTAGACAGAGGAACAATACCTTGCGTACCTGGCATTGCTGGGAGGGTCGTACTGTAAAACCCAGTTAACTTCAGGAATATCAATTCCCCGGGCCATCACATCCGTGCACACCAGGATCCCACTAGCAATGAGAGAGCAGCACATGAGCCTGGCCATCCCCTTTCCATCACGTGTTCCAACCCCAGCCCCAGTGACACCAGTACAGGGCTCTGGAGTCTCTCACAGAAACAGCTACTTTTTTAAAATATAATACTTTGATTTCTTTTTTCTTCCTCCTACAATCTTCCCGGACTTTATAAACTGCCAACAAAAGTGGGGAGTGGAGGAGGCTGCAGAGATGGCTCAGCACCCATGACAGGCAGCTCACACCCACTGGTTAACTCTAGTTCTGGGGGATCTGATTCCTCTTCTGGGATCCAGGGGCACCTGGATTCACATGCATAAATCTACACACATCATGCATAATCAATAATAAAATGTCGTGGACACACACACGAGGAGTGGGAGAGACAGCACAGAGATTCTTTCTAGCCAATACTAGGGTAGGAGCCCCAGGCCTCTGCGTGCTAACAAGTGTACTACCAACCACTGAGCCACACCCAGACCATATTTCCCTTTTGAGACAAGGTCCTCTGGTCCATCCTTCTGTAGACCAGGGTAGCCTTGAATTTCATTCCTATTTCAATCTCTCACACACTGGGGTTACAAACATGTACTGCCACAGCTGGCTTAATTTTTTTAAATTTTTATTTGCTTGCATGTATGTCTGTGTGACGGTGTCAGATCTTGGAGTTACAGACAGTTGTGAGCTGCCCATGTGGGTGCTAGGAATTGAACCTGGGTCCTTTGGAAGAATAGCCAATGTTCTTAACCATTGAGCCAACTCTCTAACCTCTGGTTTAAATTTTCTTAATTCATGCATTTCCACTTGAGAAATCAAATTGTAGAGGGTCTGCCCTCAGCAGCCACTAGAAAACAAGTGACATCTTTACCCTGTGACCAGGACAACAGCAGGGTGCCACTGTGTTCTTGTTGCTGCTTGAATGGAGCCATGGAATGCTTAGGAAAAACAGGAACAGCTGTGCTCATCAAGACACCCCCAAGTCCCCTCTGTCTAGCCAGCGCTCTATAGCCCACAGCAGGATCTGTCCCAAAAAGACTAAGGGACTGTGTTTGTTCTTGTTTACCCGGGGGCAAGTAGTTCCTCAAACCTCCCCTGTGCCAAGCCCTGGGAGACACAGCAGTGAACACACATGAGGCTCCTGACTACACTGGCCTGTGATGGAGCACAGAAATCTAGTAAAAGCCAGGTGACTCCAGCTTAGTGTATAGGGTGAGGGTTCAAACCAGGCTCTGGGTGCCTTCAAAGATGCAATAACTGAGTAGGAGCCAAAAAGGCTCCAGGAGGGCAGAGGGAGAAGGAGCAAGTACAGGACCTGAGAAGTCCGGTGACTGGTGACCTGCCCTGCCACCGAGGACACCCGTCCCCACTCACCTCTGCAGCTTGCGGAACTCCATGAAGATCTTATTGCGCTTGTACTTCATCTTCCCGTGGATGCACAGGATCTTGGCTCTCTTCAGCAGCGCCTCCAGGGCCTTTCCGTAGTACTCCACACATGCGCACGTGCTGTGCAGAAGAGAAAGCACTCAGTCACCGGTCACTGGGGTCCAGGGGCTGGGGAAGGATGCAGAGAGGGGCAGGTGTAGACAGGAACTCTCGGGACAGTGGGTACAAACGTGCCGAAGCAGCTCCTCGCTCCTCCTCACCACCCATCCAACCCCTCAAACACCAGTGCAAACCCTGACATGGGTTCTGCTGTCTAACAATGGCCCAGTAAGCAGGATCTTCTTCCCCCAAGCTGTCATCAGATCCAGATGGGATTTGAATTTCCTGTCTTTCTGTTTGGCCTCCCAAGTTATAGCAGAGACCAAGCCTGGGACCAGTCTGATGCATTTCATTGTACAAAAGTCAAAACAGATTAGAGAGGAAAAAGAGAAGCCATACTGAACATGTTGGCATATACCTTTGATCCCAGCACTGGGGAGGCAGAAAGAAGTGGGTCTCTAAGTTTGAGACCAGTCTTGTCTGTATAGCTAAATTCCAGGCTAGCCAGTGAATCCCTGACTAAAATAAAACAAACAAAAGCAACCCAAGCCCACCCAAGCAGGCACCTGTTCCTATCTTCCTCATGATAACAGAACACTCTGTGGCAGAGCGAGCTGCTCCAACCATCTCTCTGACCCTGCTTCTCAGAGCAGCATTCAGCTCAGTCTAAATGAAAGGGGTGGAGGCAGGAGCACTGCCTTCGTCCCCCTACCCTCCACCTCAGTGAAGCTCCACAATGACTCAAGATGAAAGAAAGGTCCAGCACTCGGGAGGCAGAGGCAGGCAGATCTCTGTGAATTCAAGGCCAGCCTGGTCTACAAAGTGAGTTCCAGGACTGTTCGGACTATTTCACATAAAAACTTTGTCTTGAAAAACCAAAAGGATGAAAGAAAGGTAAGGTGGAGACGGGTGTGGGAACATCAGCCTTGACACTGCTGAGCCCATACAGTGGAGGCAGGAGCTGCTGCTTCTGATCACTGCAGCGGGAGCCACAGAAGCTGGGCTCTAGGCACCAGGTGCACGCAGCCTGAGAGCCACCTCTGCACTGTGCTCCCCACCTTCCCAGACCCGACCTGGAGCCTACCTGAAGAAGACCAGGTGCTTCTCCTGCTGATGGTTCCGAAGGAAATGGACCAGCTGATTGAATTTCTCATCTGCCTTACAAAGCTACCAGGAGGGGGGAAAAATCACATATTTGCAAAAATAATCCCAGCCTGCCCAGCTCACAGAGAACAAGACAGACATCCCAGCCT